CCCCCCCCCACGGTCTTGTTTTCAGGGTTCTTCTGAGCTTTAGCCCTCGCCCACTCCCTCAGTAACCTTCACTGTTGACACCAGGATTCTCATTGCCTTGTTTGGGTCTAGTTGGATCAGTTGGTTGGTTACTTGGTGCCCAGGAGGGGAGGCAGGCGACTGTCACCAGGTCTTAGGGTGATTGACCTGCTGTCCCTTAGGCCTGCGACTGCTTTCTGAACCTGTGGGCAGCATTTCTAACCTGCTGCACGACTCGACTCATGCAACAAGTGAGCGAGTTTGGGAGAGACTGAGAGATGAAGACAGCCGTGGACTGTGTTGTTGGACCTAGTCGAACCTGCAGCCCGAAACAACCTGATATTCACTGCTTCCGGTCTGCCCTCTCATTACTAACTTAAGGCAAAGTGATTAGGAGTAACTTCCTGTAGTTTATTTCCAGACACACTTATATTTAGTTGGATATTATATGGATTGAAAGGTGTCCTCCCAAAAGATGTGCTGAAACCTTAACCCCTAGTTCCTGTCAATGTGATCTTGTGTGGAAGTGGGGCCTTTGAAGCTGTATGTCATCAATTATGTTCACAGGAGGTCCTGCAGGGCTGGCGAGTCCAAATCCACTCTCATAAAATGTTTTATTTTCTAACCACACTTTGGCTAACTCTGATTTCCACACTATACATTTCCCTCCTAGAGTGTGGGTCCCCCCGCCTTTGGCTCAAAATGATTGCTTTGGGGTGCATCCTGCATCCCCCTCTTCACAGAGAACCTAGGGACTGCTCCTGCCAACCCCACCCCAGCCTAATGTCCTCAGGTCGGGTGATCCTTACCGGCACTTCTGAGGCTGTAAACCTTTACGTGGCGGACCTCATGCTGTCTCCCACAGTACAGCTGGCTGATTTGAACTGCTGAACTTTTGGTTAGCAGCTTGATTGCCAGGGCTTCTTGTGGGAAATGACAGAGGCCAGATGGAAAGGTACCAGGGTTCATGTTGCTGCCTGGCAGAGGTGAGAGCCCATTTTAGGTTGATCAACTGGCCTTATCTTCCTTGTGGGAGTCAAAATACCTCAGTCCCAGGAACTGAAGGATGTACTCAGTCCCAGGAACTGAAGGATTTCTTCTGGACTCCCTTCTGCTCGGTAAAGTCGAAGGGTGGTTGAGAAAAGAGGAAGCCTCTTAATGAGAGGGATGGACACAATGGCTGCAACAGTGGGCTCAAGTACAAGCACGATGACGAGAGGCCCAGGGCTGGGTGGGGTTTCCCACGAGGTCACTGTGAGTCGGAACGGACCCTAAGGCAGCTAACAGCAACACTGCTGTTGACGTGTGGGGTGAGAGGCCTGGAATCTTCCGGACAAAGTTCCTCTGAACACATCCCCCCTCTGACCTCAGCCCATAGTAGGGCAAGCCTGCTGTCTTCCTGAGAGACCAGCCCAGGCCTGCAGCTGCTGGGTCCCTGCTCTCTTCTCTGCAGGCCGAGAGGGCCAGGGAGCCCGAGGCCAGCAAGCCTTCGCAGAGGAGAGAGGAGCCCCATCCTGGAACACATTGCGGTTCTTCCCAGGCCCCTTCTCCTCTGTCAAGATGTGTTCAGCAAAGATATGGGCATGTGTTAACAGCGGCAGCCCCCAGGGATCAGAGCCCTATCACGAATGATCTGCCCTTCACAATGACACAATCAGGGGGAGATTGTGGTTGGATGAGGGGCTGAGGCCCTGCGAGGATTCGCAATTTCCTCCCCCAAGAACACACAATAAGGAGGTGTCAGGACTTGAACTTGAGGCCTCCTGACTCCAGCCCTCAACTCATCTCCAGATGCTTCCTGGGACGCACACTTTCTTTTTTGCAAAAAGAGACAATGAGATGTGTTGGTTCCACGCGGGAGGCACCCACAGCCTCATGCCCTTCCCTGAAGGCTAATTAGTGTTTTCATTCTTGGATTCTGGCCCTCCTAGTGGCATCGTGGGTTACACATTGAGTCAGCAGGCTTTTTGCTCCCATCGAGCTTAATAGCCCTAGAAATCCACAGGGGCAATTCTGTTCTGTCCTGTAGGGCCACTATGATTCAGGACCGATTCGTTGGCAGTAGGTTGGGTTGCTGTGGGTACGAAGGATCCCTGGTGGTACAGTAGTTAAGTGCTCAGCTTCTAATCAAACGGTTAGTAGTTCAGGCCCATATCGCTGCTCTGTGGAAGACAAATGTGGCTTGTGCAAGGTTTGCAGCGTAAACCTATAGGGTCAATCCTGTAGGGTCACTGTGAGTCAGAGGCGACTTGATTGCATTGGGGTTGGTTGGGTTTACAGGGGGTAAAGTGGTACCTCTTGGTGATTTGGGTTTACGGTCCCCTAATGACATGCTCTAGACTAGAGGCTTTTTGTTGTGACTGTTGTCTATTCTATGCTTGCCTTCGATCTGCAGGGTGACTTTCCCTTAATATAAGCCATGATGGGGCACAGCCCTGTCGGACCTCTCTGGCTCACACTCGGTGGTCAGGAATGGCGTGGCGAACACAGTAGCAGTCCTTGAGCAATCTGTTCGGACTTGGCGGGGAGTCTTTGAACCAGTTTGCACACAGGCTCCCTCTTGGGTGCCAGGAGACAGCCTGGCTCTTCCTGGGGCTGATCACTCTAAGGAGGACTCCGGAGGAGCCTCCCTGGGACCCGACACAGTAGGAGCAGCAGGAGTGTTTTATCTTTGTTTGCAGGGATTCCAGTTGACAAATGAACTGGGAGTCCCCTACCAGGGCCCTAGAAAGAGAGCTGCTTTATGCCCTCCGTGGGGATTATTTGGCATTTATGGTTTCAAAGAAGCAGTTTCTGAGACCCCACTGCGGGTTTGATTTCTCTCCTGATTGGTTTTAAGCAGCCTTCTCTGTAGTCCCTTGTTACCGGTGCTTAATGTGTGCCTGTAGAAAATGTGATCCTTAGTATAGGCTCCTGATGGCACCTCATTGCCCAGGATGCCAGAACAACAACACCTTCGTGACAGCCAAGCTGGTTCCATAGCCCAGTGGACAGGTGGTATTAATGTTCCTCAGCTGGCCTGTCGTAGAACAAATGCCCTAAAGTGATGAATCTTTGTAATATGTTCCCAGACTAAGTATGTTAATTCTCTTTAGAGAGATGGGAATTGTTGTTAGCATCTATGATTGCAGGGATGATTGTCTTCGGAGGCAATGTGTGCGCATCTGTGTAGTATGCTTCTCAGGGGACATGGCGTAAAGGCTGGACTTGCAGGAAAGGTGGGAAAAAGTAAGTGGCCCCAGCAATCCTAGGAAGGCTTCCGTATTCCTTGAAGCCTCTACTAAGCAAGGGATTGAAGACTCAAGTCTATCCACAAGCCACTAGGAAGAAAGTCCTTGTTATCACCTTCGAGTTTTTTGTTGTTACTAAGTGCTGTGCAGTCAGTTCTGACTCATAGTGACCCCAGGTACAAACAGAACAAAACACTGTCTCGTCCTCCATCATCCTCACAATTGTTCAGTGCCAGTCCATCGCATAGAAGGTCTTCCTCTTTTCCATTGGCCCTCTACCTTCTCAAGCCTGATGCCTGCTCCAGGACTGGTCCCTCTGTGTTAGCACATCCAAAGTCCATAAGAGAAAGTCTCACCACGCTCACTTCTAAGGAGCACGATGGATGCATGGATTCTAAGACAGTGCATTCACTGTTAACCAACACCACAACTCAAAAGCATCCATTCTTCTTCAGCCTTTCCTTTGACCACGGAAAGCCCTGTGGAGCACAGTAGACTCTGGCAGAAGTGGGGTCCCCAAGAGTCAGAATCCACCATGGCAGCTGGTTACTGGTACTCCCACTAGTCATTCCCTGGAATTCCATCATTAGGGCCTTGCCTGTGGAGCACGGATACCCCTGGGAATGGGTGAAGCACTGCAGCGCATGTTGTGGGAATGAGTGGGACGGGGCAAGGATGGGAAAGAAAAGACTGCCGTTTCTCTTGTGTGCACCTAGCCTTCTGTATGCGGGGCACCTCTCTGCACCCCGTCTCACTGACCCCGCCAAGCCCATTGGGCCTCTGTTCTCTGTGATGCAGACTTCCCAGTGCCCGTTTAACGAGAAGCGCGAGTGGCTCAAGAGAGAGCCGAGTCTTCCCAGGAGGCCACCCTGCTTCTCTGAGGGGCTCTGGGTATCTTTGGGGAGTGGCTGTCACATATGACCCCCTCGGGCCACACAAAGGAGAAGAAGAAGCCGTCTCCACACCGGTCAACGGCAGTTGCCACAAGGCAGAGGTCCACCCTCCTTCCTTCTTGGTCTCACACCAACTCTCCCTCCACGACACTGCCTTTCTGCTGGGTTCCCTAATCTACTGCCCTGGCTGCACGGAACTCAGACTCCCCTCACAATCATGGACGTTTATTAGGAAAATGAAGGGCTGAAATGAAAATGAGAAGCCAAGATCAGAAAACATTAAGGATACACCCTTTGGTTCCTGGCAGGACCCTCCCTTATCCCGCAGCCAAGTCTCTCTCTCTCTGGTCCTCAGCCTCTGCCTGGGTCAGGAAGCCCCGCCGCTCTGCCTCACAGTCCCCGAATCTCAGTGGGGCCCTTCTGCTCTATTATATGGCCTCTGGTCTCGGTGTGGTGCGACCCCTCCTGCCTCCCCCACTTCCGGCCGGGATTTCAACGTGCTCGTGACTCATCTTCCTTGATGGTCCCGAGAACTCTGTCCCTTCTGGATTCTGGGATGCCTCATTCTTATAGCAGGGAAGTGGGGAAAGTGAGCCCTTAAAGTGAAGGGGGAATACGCAGGAGCGAAGCTGCCAGTGAAGCCCCTCTCCCCGTCCACCAGGGATGTGAACAGCCTTGCCACCATGCAGAGCGCACTGGCAAGTGGATTCTTGTAGATAGGTTAAAAATGAACACTTTGGCATGTAATCTCCCCCTTTGACCCCTGTTAAATTTGTTCTAGTTTTTAATATTCTCTATTTTCTTTTCATTTGAGGGTTTTCTCTGTTTTATCGTGATTGGTTTGGGTTGATGTTTTGGCATGTTTTTCCTTATAGGAAATCCAGCATAGGTAGAGACAGTAATTGGATGAATGGCTTCTTGGGGAGGTGGGAGGGTAAGTGGCCAGAAATGGGGAGCTAATAACAACGAGCATTAAATAAGAAGAAAATGCTTTAAAATTGAGTGTGCCATGAATGTACAACTCTCCTTGATATTATCGAACTCTTGTGTGATATGTGGATTTCTGTGGCAATAACACTCTTTAGAAAAGAAAGAAAGACTTCTAGTAAATTGGCATTCTATGATGCTCACCTTCCCGACACAACCGCTGAAGACAAAGCGGGTGAATAAGCAAATGTGGTGAAGAAAGCTGATGGTGCCCGGCTATCAAAAGATATAGCGTCTGGGGTCTTAAAGGCTTGAAGGTAAACAAGCGGCCATCAAGCTCAGAAGCAACAAAGCCCACATGGAACAACATATCAACCTGTGTGATCACGGGGTGTCGAACGGATCACTGAAGACAAATGGGTGCATAAGCAAATGTGGTGAAGAAAGCTGATGGTGCCCGGCTATCAAAAAGTATAGCGTCTGGGGTCTTAAAGGCTTGAAGGTAAACAAGCGGCCATCAAGCTCAGAAGCAACAAAGCCCACATGGAAGAAGCACACCACCCTATGCAACCACGAGGTGTCGAAGGGATCAGGTGTAAGGCATCATCAGAACAAAAAATCTTACCATAGTGAATGATGGGGGCAGTGCGGAGTGGAGATCCAAAGCCCATTAGTAGGCCACTGGAGATCCCCCTGCGGAGGGGTCTCGGAGAGGAGATGAGCCAGTCAGGGTGCGATGTAGCAATGATGAGAAATACAGCTTTCCTCTGGTTCCTAAATGTTTCCTCCCCGCTCCCACTACCATGACTCGAATTCTATCTTGCAAGATTGGCTAGACCAGAGGAGGTACACGGGTACACAGGGAGGGTAAAGGGAGAATGGGTAGGAAAGAGGGAACCGATTACATGGAGCTATATGTGACCTCCTCCCTGGGGGACAGACAACCGAAAAGTGGATGAAGGGAGATGTCGGACAGGGCAAGATATGACAAAATACCCATTTATAAACTGTCAGGGGCTCATGCGGGAGGGGGGAGCGGGGAGGGAGGGAATAAATGAGGACCTAATGTCGGGGGTTTAAATGGAGAGAAAATGTTTTGAGAAACGATGTACAGATGCGCTTTACACAATTGATGTGTGTATGGATTGGGATAACAGTTGTATGAGCCCCTAATAAAATGTTAAAAAAGAAAGAAAGAAAAAACTGAATCCTCTTCCCCTTATTTGCATGGTCCCACCCAATCATTTGGTGGGAGAACTGGATAGAAGAGCCATAGAAGAACTTTCACTTCACCACAGCACCAAAACCACTCCAGAGGGGAGGAAGGGATGAGCACACCGATGGAGTGGTCTGCCCAGGTGTGAGTGGCTCCGTGGTAGGAGGACTCCGATTCTTGGCAAAGCTCTGGAGGAGGAAAATAGACCAACAGCAGCCTTGAGTCAAGCCTGATGAGTGAGAACCAGAGGCCAGTTAGCCAGATCTGCCGTTTTGATTCTCATATGGACCCTCACCAACCCACACGCTCTTATATAAAATGTGAGCTCCATTCAGCGGCTTGAGGGCTATCACAGCTCATGAAGGAGAGAGTCTGGACTTGGGCTTGAACGCTGCCCCTGCTACTGGCTGTGTGGCCTTAGACAAGTCACTGAACTTTCTTCTGCATCTTTGACACGTGGATAATGATTTCTAACTCCTGGGGTTGTTGGGAGGGTCCACATGAGATAAGGATGGGCAAGTCCTAGCATGGGGCAGGACACGGTGGCCTTAGTGGCCAGTCCAGAGCCGGTGATGGTAGTGGCTCTTAGGACAGCAGGCAGTCAGCCCTCTGAGCCTCCCCTCTGCCTTCTGCCTCCACAGTGCTGCAGGGCGTGGAGAACTCCCTGGTGGGCCTGCACAACCAGAGCTTTGCCCGCGTCATGGAGCAGCGCCTGGCCCAGCTGTTCATGATGTCCCAGCAACAGGGCCGGCGGTTTAGACGGGCCACTACCCTGGGAAGCTACACCGTGCAGGTGAGTGGGTTTTCTCATGAGACGAAATCATGCTGTGTGCAGAGAACACTGGGGCTGCAAACTAATGACGTCCTTTGGTCCACGAAGCTTTTTGGGTATGGGGTGGGGGGGGTCAGAATGTTGATGGTCATGATCATGAGAAATATAAAGGAGGCTGAGAATTAGCCCCTCACCATGAGCTGGTCAGGCAAGAAGGTCTCAGAACGGATTCTGCACACATGCAGTTGTTCATTGAGCAAAAGGCTATCAAGCAGCAAACATGACTTACAGAAGAAAAAAATTATAAAGCAAATCGATCTGTTCCCTAGGCTCAATGAAAAATGATTTGAGAAGTATCAGTTCAAGGCTGGTCCAAATGAAGTGTAGGTTAAAGAGATCCCAAATGTCCAACTTTTCCAAATTACTTTACCACCCCATCATTCCTGACACCAGTCAGCACTCCTCCTCTCAGGACGCGCTCATATCCCAGGGTTTGCAATTCACTGTGATGTCTCCTAGCACTCACGGACTGACATGGAAACGGCTCACATCGTTGTGGAATTTGGCAAGTCCCAACCCTGCAGCTCAGACATCCGTCCGGAGGATTCTCCTCCCTCGCAGCAAATCAAGCTGCTGCACCCTCACCAAAACAGGCTGCTTGTTGGCTCACAAGGCTGCAGCAGAAAGTGAATCTGTCAGAGGATAGGCTGCGAGCCTATCTCAGGAACCAGAGGTCAGGTGGAGGCAAACCAGATGCGGGATTCAGAACAAGAGACCAAACTGCCACAGTTTGGGTGGGGACAGCGGGGAGTCCTTCGTAGCCGAGCAAACAGGAGTGTGCTGGGTCTCATGGACAAGATAGCATCTTGTCCATGTCTGATCCTTTGATGGTGTTGTGGTTTTGACCTTTGGGTTTCAAAGGGTTAGGTAGAGGACACCCTTATCACTTCTGCATATGTTCAGTGGACCAAGATTAGTCTCAGCCAGTTTCTTGACCTTGGCCACCTGCTTTTCTCAGTTAAGGGTCTCTGAGTTGGAGCCAACTTGATGGCACCTAACAAGTCACCTGCTATGGTAGTTGGCTTAGTAACATACCTTTGGGGGCTCCCTTCCACGTATCACGTCCTCACTGGCTTGTCAGTTCCCTGAGTCTCCCCAATAAGCCACAAGCATGCAGCTCTTTTCACGGTCTGCTTGGGAAGGACCCCAACCAAGAGAGTCAGTCTCCAAGGGTCGGGCATTAAAGCTTTCTAGATTCTTGCGTGCAGTTCATGCAAGCGTGAGGGTCTCTTTAGAATACTCTAGCCTAGCCACAGATCTTGAATACTACTAATTTTGCTAGAGATCCCATTTTGAACATGTGCTATGTTCATTAGAAAAGTTCTCTGTGGAAGAGTGCAGAGTGGGGACCCAAATCCCATCTGTAGGCAATTGAACATCCCCTTACAGAAGGGTCATGGGAAGGAGATGAGCCAGTCAGGGTGCAGGGTAGCAACGATGAAGCATGCAACTTTCCTCTAGTTCCTAAATGCTTCCTCCCCCCACTATCATGATCCCAATTCTACCTTACAAATCTGGCTAGACAAGAGGATGTACACTGGTACAGATAGCAACTGGAAACACAGGGAACCCAGGACAGATGATCCCTTCAGGACCAGTTTGTGAGTGGCGATACCGGGAGGGTGGAAGGAGGGTGGGGTAGAAAGCGGGAACCGATTACAAAGATCTACATATAACCCCCTTCCTGGGGGATGGATAACAGAAAAGTGGATGGAGACATAGGACAGTGTAAGACATGACAAAATAATAATAATTTATAAATTATCAAGGGCTCATGAGGGAGGGGAATGAGGAGGGAAGGGGAAAATGAACTGATACCAAGGGCTCAAATAGAAAGCAAATATTCTGGGAATGATGAGGGCAATAAATGTACAAATGTGTTTGACACAATGGAAGTATGTATGGATTATGATAAGAGTTGTACGAGCCCCCAATAAAAAGATTTAAAAAAAAATAAAGGAAGAAAAGTTCCCTAACAGCTGCCTCTGGATTGTGGGTTTCCCCGTTGTTATCTAGTGGACCAGCCTGGGGGTGAGCTCTTTATTGATAAGGGAGCGCATCTATGGTAGAAGCCTGGGGGGTGAGCTCTTTATTGATAAGGGAGCGCATCTATGGTAGACCGGAAGTGTGTGCATTGTATCACACTATCCGTGAGGAATCATTGTAAAGGAAATGAAGGACATCAGCACCATCGACCTACGGCAGTCTTTGGGGGGCGGGGCGGGGAGGACTTCGTGAATCCAGTTCTGTATGTGAGTCGGCACCGTGTGCCTGTCTAAGGCTCCAGGTCCCTTCGTCCACAGTACGAGGATTTGGCTCCTTGCCCTCTTGGATGATGCTGCGAATCTAAAAATTTCCGGTGGGCTGTGGTGACCCAAACCAAACCCACTGCCATCAACATGATTCTGACTCCCAGTGAGCCTGTGGGACAGAGTAGAACTGTTCCTTAAGGGTTTCTGAGACTGTCATTTTTTTTTTTAAGCAGGCAGATAGCATCGACTTGCACCTGAGGAGTCACTGGTGGGTTTGAACCACTGAACTTGTGATTAGCAACCCACTGCACTGTCCCGAACTCATTGCCATCCAGTCAGTTCTAACTCATGGTGACCGTATAAGACAGGGTAGATCTGCCTCTGTGCATTTCCAAGACTAACTGTTTACAGGAGGAGAAAGCCTCATCTTTCTCCTTTGGAGGGGCTGGTGGTTTTGAACTACTGACCTTGTGGTTACCATCCCAATGTATAACCACTATGCCACCAGGGCTCCTCTATGAGGTAAAGTCATGAGATGGCTAATTTTGTGTGTCAGGTGTGTGGTTTTCTTTCTGGCTACACGTGACCCCTATATTTTGCAGTTCTCCCCATGGCAGAAAGAGAGTTTCTAGGATGCGGGGAACTATGGCATGGGATTTGCCTCACTGGAAGGAGCACAAGAACTGCCATCAATCCTGGCATTATCTGAAAACCTAAGAGGCCTCACACATTCTTTGTCTAAAAGACCCAGAGGGACAACCTTTCCCTCACCTCGTCTACTACTCCGTGCACTTGGCCCCTGTTGCTGCCTGAGGGTTCTGAGTGAAGCAGGTGGAGGTGTCATCTCTACAAATCCCTAATTCACAGAGGCTGACAAACACTTCTAACATCCCCTGGGAGAAATCGTGGTAAAAATCACTTGCTTCTAAATCAAAATAGCGCTGAGATGTTTGATATTTGAGAGCTCATTCACCTGCTCCCTGGTTGTTTTCATACTCTTCCCACCGCCTTTCCCAGCAGCGATTCTCAACCTCTGGGTCGCGACCTCTTTAGGTCTCGACCCCTTTCACAGGGGTCTGGTCTTTCCCAGCAGTGGGTCTCAACCTGTTGGTTGCGACCCCTTTCACGGGGCAAAATGACAGTTCTGAAGTAGCGATGAAAATAATGTTATGGTGGGGGGAGGGGTCACTGCAACATGAACTGTATGAAAGGGCCGCGGCATGAGGAAGGTTGAGAACCACTGAGCCAGGAGAAGGAAGAGCATGCCGAGACTCCCCGAATAGAATGCATTCGACCGAGCTTACACCATCCTCTGCCCAGAAGCCTTTCTTCTGAATCCGGATAATTTTAAGAGCTGAGCCATCTTCAGGAATAGGTCGATGTAAAGGCATTTCGGTAAAGAGGTCAAGTTTTGGAAACGCAGAGAGGCGGTTCTACGCTGCCCTGTAGGGCCCCACAGAGTCCGAACCAGCCTGAAGGAAATGCATTTAGAATCTCCGTGAAGACCACTCCGGGAGATGAAATGAGAAAAACACGGCTAGGGAACATTTTGAAGGGTTTGACTCCAGTTGTAATCAAAGGGATGCTGATTTTGAAAACAAGGCGGCAGTGTCAGCTACCAAAGCTGAGGAACACAGCACGGTCCAGTGTTGGCGGGGACCCAGCGAAGCAGGCACTTCCAAATACAGTACACTGATGCCACTCTCTGGAGGGAAAACGGGTAAGTTAGGCTTCAAGAGCCTTTGAGAGAGGTTCTAGGCAAAAAAGGACTAGGTCTTAAGCAGGCAAACATAAAACCAAGACACATCATCCAGGTGAGGGAGCCCATCATCAGGATGAGGCCATATGCTGTCCAAAGGATTCGTGGCCACCTTGCAAAATGTAAAAGACAGAAACAACAGTTAGTCACAAAATCATGGTGGACATCAGCAGATCCGTTCATTCTTGTCATGGTCCGGACTACGGAATAAGGACGGAGATTGGGATGTGTATACTACTGCAGATTACAAGGCCTGACAGGATGGGTCCTGGGGTTTCTCTGACCATGTTTTGTGCTGACACCCCAATTCCCCATAGGGAAAGTCCCTGAGGGTGAGGCTGTCCCTCCCTTGGGTGGTTAGGGGAGTTGTAGTAATCCACGGTCAAACACACGGCCTGGGGCAAAGCTTCCTACAGGGCTGGTGAAGGGTCGGATGAAGCTCCGTACAGGCTAAGGCTGAAATGGCGCGAGAGCACCCACGGTAAACTGGTCTACTGTCAACCCAAAGCTTAGAATTTAAGCTTTCATACTTACTCCAACTTACTCCTAGGAGTTCATCTCCTGGAGTTAGAAGTGAACAAAGGCGTTTCTCAGATGGTTCTAGGAGAACCCCTGAAACAAGGGGGTTCTCAGGGTAAATCAATCCAGGCATGCATGCCCACCTGTCCCTTCCTTCAAGATCGCAAAGAATATTTGTGGGCCAAAAACTCCAAAAAGAAAGCACCTTAACTGTACTCAATATGTTGCTGTATAAATGTAATGGCCCCAAAGACTCTTGTTTTTAGTAGCATTCTACTTTCAACAACATTTTCAAAAAAAATTTTTCAATCATACAGAAAAAAATTGAAACAAAAGTATACAAAAAGATGTTTTTTAAAGTAGATATAGAGTGACCCATAGACCATCGAGCCTTTCTGTTTCATATCACAGCCATCCCTGTCTCACCGTACTTAACAATGTTTTGTTTTGTTTTGTTTTTACCTATTAGGAGGTTTGTGGAAACAACCAAAATAGAACCCCAAGGGTAGAAACATCACTCTTACCTGATTTTTCCTGGAAGTCCCTCTTATGTCACAGAGTCTCTGAGTCACATTTTGGTCACTCTCACAAGATTTCAAATTTTTCTGCTGTTTGCACACTTACTAGACTGCAGGATAGTGCAGACATCACTTTTGTTCACACTGGGAAACCTAACAATGTGCGTGACTCACTTTTTGGGCAGTATTTAGTTTCTTGTGTTGGTCTGGAACTGAACCCGCAATATCTCCAAGGTATACCTGTATATTATTTCACTAATTTATATGAGATAACTTATATGGTTTCCATACTGTAAATTCTGTTTTGATTGTTCTAGAACTTCATATAAGTGGAATCATACCATATAGACATCTTTTTGATTCATTATAGGTTTTTTGCATTGTTCAGTGCTTCCTTCCTTTACATGGCTGAATAATCTTTCCTTACATGAGGACATTATACTTTGTTTATCCATTCCTCTATTGCATAGCACCTGAGCTTTCTCGAACTTTTAGTTACTATAAATAAAGTTGTTGTGAATGTTCTCCTGCAGGCCTCGTTGTGGCCATGTGTTTCCATTTCTCTCGCATAACTAGGAGTGCATTGCTAATTCGTAAAGTCAGTGTCAGTGCACTCCATGAGAATTGGCCGGACCTTTTCCCCAGTGGCCGCACCATTTTGCACTATCCCCAACTGACCGTGATGTTCCAGTTGCTCCCCATCCTTGTCAACACTTGGTGCTTTCTCACTGGTGGCCACTCTGGTGAGTGTTGTCTCACTGTGGTTCTCACTTTCATGTTCTTGAAAACTGGTGATTTCGAGCATTTTTCTATGTTTGTTGACCATTATGATATCTTCCGTGTGAATTTATGGCCAGCTATTTTGCCCATTTTTATAGGGTTGTAGTAATACCTATTTTTAATTGTTACATATAGCATGCATGCAAACATGCATAAGAAAGTGTGAGCTTAAAGAGCACTAATCTACAAATAAATCACTAACCAAAAGGGTAAAGACATCACCCTTACCTGATTTCCCCCGGAAGTACCCTCTTGGGTACCTTCTACAACTGCACCCCCTTTTCCTGACCAGTGTGTCATGTGACTCTGGATTTCTTATTAGATTTTCTTGTATTTACTATGTATGTTTTTATCGTGTACATGTATAACCCTAAATAGTATTTAATTTCATTTTCCTTCTTTTTTTCCTTTTGAGCTTTATATTCTATAATTTATCTCTTGCTCCAATCAGACTTTTCTTTTCACACATATTGATATTAATAATAGCTCATTTATTATCACTATTCTATATTTCATTGTGTGACTATTCGTGACACACTTACTTGTATTCTGTTGTACATATTTTGGCAAAGGCTATACCATAATGTTTATTAATTGATAATGATAAAAGTGAAAAGTTGACCAAGCGGCCATCTAGCTCAGAAGCAACAAAGCCCACATGGAAGGAGCACACCAGCCTGTGCGATCACGAGGTGTCAATGGGATCAGGTATAAGGCATCATCAGAACAAAAAATCTCACCATAGTGAATGAGGGGGGAAGTGCGGAGTGGAAACCCACAGCCCATTTGTAGGCCACTGGAGATCTCCTTGCAGAGGGGTCTCGGGGAGGAGACGAACCACTCAGGGTGCAATGTAGCAACGATGAAAAATACAACTTTCCTCTAGTTCCTAAATGCTTCCTCCCATGCCCCCCCTCCCCATCATGATCCAAATTCTACCTTGCAAGTCTGGCTAGACCAGAGGCTGTACACTGGTACAGAGAGGAACTGGAAACACAGGGAATCCTGGGCGGATGATCCCTTCAGGACCAATGGTGAGAGTGGCGATACTCGGAGGGTAGAGGGAGAGTGGTTTGGAAAGAGGGAACCGATTATAAGGATCTACATGTGACCTCCTCCCTGGGGGACGGACAACCGAAAAGTGGGTGAAGGGAGACGTCGGACAGGGCAAGATATGACAAAATAACAATTTATAACCTATCAAGGGTACATGAGAGAGGGGTGAGTGGGGAGGGAAGGGAAAAAATGAGGACCTGATGCCGGGGGCTGAAGTGGAGAGCAAATGTTTTGAGAATGATGAGGGCAATGAATGTACAAATGTGCTTTACACAATTGATGTGTGTATGGATTGTGATAAGAGTTGTATGACCCCCTAATAAAATGATTTTTTTAAAGTGAAAAGTTGATTATCTAAGTTCAATAATAAAGCCTTGATTAAGTCACAAACTCTCTGCCATCGAGTCCATGACGACTCAGAGCCATGGAGAGGACAGGGCACGACTTAATGACCACTGGAAAGATTAACCAAAGGAAATTGTTACCAAAGCCGTGAGGTCCACTTCAGCGCACCCTTTAGAAACCAGCTTTCGTTCTTTTATTGTATTTAAGGTCGTTTAAGGATGCAAGTAAGAATAGCAAGATGTGATACTATATACACTGCGATAAATAATGCAATTTAAAAAATATTTCAGTGGGATGAAACTATGAATAGGAGCAAATACTCCAAAATGATAGCAGTGATTAGTTTGTGATAGAGGGATTGCAGATGATTTAAATTTAATTTTGTTTCTTTATACCTTTCTGAATTTGGTAATTTTCTGAAGTAAATAGGTACAACTTCTAAGGTGAGAAAAGATAACAAATGTTACTTTAGAAAAAGGACATCATGTCCCCCAGTAGTGCGTTTATCAGACAGCTTTTGAATTTCAGACATATACATTAATTTTTTTCCTTTCTGGCAGTTACAGGAATTTGAAATTAAAAATCGTGGTTGAGACTAACCGTACATGTCCTGATTTAATGTAATGGCCTATTTTTAATTGAGGGCAGAGTCCTGTGTGGAAGTTGGAAAACATCAGCCTCCCAGTGATTTTTCTCAAAACTGAACTTTTCTTCCAAGATGTTCCTATTTCAATGCCTTTTTTCTCCCCCAGTCTCTCCCTCCATCTCCAGTACCTGTTTAGGTCCAGGTGGTCACTGGTGACTTCAGGTCCTGGGAGAGAGGACCCGCTGATAGCAGGGGTGAGTTTTGGGTCAAATGCAAGGTTGATGCCAGATGTCCTGTAAATGTGGCCTCTCTTTTTCCCAAAAGATGGTAAAGATGCAGCGTGTGCCAGGGCCGAAGGATCCAGCGGAGCTGACTTACTACACCCTGTACAACGGGAAGCCATTGCTGGGGACCGCAGCAGCCAAGATCCTGAGCACCATTGACTCCCAGAGGATGGCTTTGACCCTACATCACGTTGTCCTTCTGCAAGCTGACCGTAAGGGGACAGCCTTTCATTTGTCACCCGGAACACCACTGTTAAACGTGGTTCTTGAACGCCATATTAACAGACCTTGACCCAAACAGAGTTCTGTTCCATAAGACTATCATCATTCTGCTGTGTCTCCTGTGTGGTTTAAAACGGTTGGTTTGAAGCAAGGGATATTTTGGATATTGGTATGATGGTAGTGATACTGCTCTGCCCCCAAGTCCTCCCCACTCTCCTCAGTATAATCTAGTGAATGGCTAGGGAAAATCTCTAGCTGAGATTATATTTGTATGCCAGGGGAACGGAAGGTTGTTTGACTCACAAAACATAGAGCGCCCTACCTGAGCTGCACTGGTGCTGGAAGCTGTGCAGCAGAGAGCAGGACCTGGAGTAGGAAGGGGAGTTGGAAGGAAAGTAAGGCTGGACAGTGCTGCCAGGAGGCAAGATGAAACAGGAATCCACAGAGTCTGCACTGAGTGGGGCAGTTGAATACCCTCCCTGGTGGCAGTTACTCTGCCGGTTGCTTTATATAGATGATCTCGTTTTCTACTCTGACTGGAACAGAATTTCTTCGGCTCTAAATCACAAATGTGGAAACCCAAGTCGCCATAAAGTTAAGCAGTTTGCCGGTACTTCGGGAGCCAGGTGTGCATCTAGATGGACCTGCGTCCTGGTACTGTGTTACACTACGGGATCTCAGCAGAGAGAGCAAGCAGGGCTGTCTGTTCTGGATGGAGCACGTAGCATGAGCCAGAGAGTGGAGGCGAAAAGCACTGAGGGTGCTTGAAAACAAGGCGTTCAGGTTGCCTGGGGCGGGACACACGTGGAGGAGCAGATGGCATTAGAAAGGTGTCCTGGTGGGGCCACACGGGCCTGGGATGTCCAGGGAACAAGTGGGAACACAATATGGTTGGCACTGTTGGAGATTTGTGAGCAAGGGAGCAGTATTGTTGTAATCACCCCTTTCTGAGGGAGGTAATCTGGCAGCAGTATCTAGGAAGGGTCAGGACGGAAGGAGACAGGAGATGGTGGAACCATTAAGGAAGGGCCCTAGGAGGGCCCAAGGATTGGGAGTCGAAAGGGGGGCTGTAAGTGGGGAGAGGGGTAAGGAGTTTATGTGATAAAAATTTTAATACTTGGCAATAAATTTAGCATAAAGGGTATGGGAGACCATCTTGAATAGGTTTCCAAGTTGTTTTTCCCATTCCTTGAAAACCTGGAAAGAGAACCACGGTGGTGTAGCTTATGCATTGGGCTTCTAATCACAAGGTCAGTGGTTCAGATCAGCCAAGTGGTTCCATGGGAGAAAGAGGAAGCTTTGTGCTCCCATAAAGAGTTAAGTCTCTAAATCCCACAGAACAGGGGCTGTTCTGCTCTATCCTAGAGGGTCGCTATGAGGCACTGGCGGCGAGTGAGTTTTCCTTCCCTCTGGTCTTCTTCCTGGGTAATGGCCCAGACCACATGTGGGGATGGCTTTCCCTTGTGAGCCTAGGAATGCTATTTGTCCACTGCATTCCTGATTTTTGAAGTGATTTCTTTAAAATCAAGATTCTCTTGTTTTGCATTTTCTCCTTCCCTACCTTCGGTCTCTGTCCTCAGCCCCAGTCCACTCTTTGTTTTAAATCCACTTGGCAGCATCCTCTGTACATGGGTTTCCACTCTTGAGAAGCAGATGAGAAGAGACAAGTGAATGAGAAAGAAGAGGAATGGAGATTTTTTTTTTAAATCCCATTTTATCCCAAGAGTTTTGAGGTGCTCAGCACTTTGAACAGAGAACCACAGTGCTGAATGAACAACTGGTCCCTGTGAAGGGAGATCGTTCGCACTCAGTGTTCCAGCGCCTTCTAACTTGCTCCTAGACATGGAGAGGGGGTGGGAAGCTGGCCTTTCCACCTCCAGGTGGCGATGCAGGATTTGATTCCTTTGAAGTGACCTGTGTCCGAGGGAGGTTTTCATGAGTGCTATTTGTGGGGGCTTGTGTGGGAGAACCGTCAGGGTTGTCACACCCAGGTGCTTTAGGGAGGAAAAGTCTCCCCAGGGAAAATCAACAACCACAGAAGTGCTCTACCTCAGGTGACCATCAGATTCTTATCTCAAAAAAAATGTGTTAACTATCTGAAAGAAAGCAGTAGACCGCCACCCCTTGGAGAAGGAGCTCACACTCATCCATTCTTTCATCGAGTATTTTTGAGCACCTACTGTGTGCTGGAGAGACTAGTCCCCCGGAAAGGACACCAAGCTTAATAAATCAGAGGAGAAGTGAAAAAGAAGGGTCCTCTCAGTAAGAGGGGTGACACAGGGGCTGCAACAATGGGCTCAGACATGAGAACAAGGGTGAGAATGTTCGATTGTGCAAAGTGTCAGACCCAACTCAACAGCCCCTAACAATAACAACACTACCATGTGCTACCTTGTTCTAGGCACAGGGAGCGCAGCAAAACAGAGCAGACAAAAACCCCTGCCCTCTTGGAGTGGACCTTCCTGAGTGTGCAGATTAAATAAACAAAGCAAATGAGAACCACGCTTCCCCACATCTGGTGTGCCCACTTAAATGATGTGTATACGTACATACCCGGCACAGGAAATGAATGTGCAAGGGGATTTTGTGGCACCAGTGTTCTTTAGGTAAAAATATGATGCTGATGAGTCCTAGAAAGAAACGGTCAGCAGGGAAAGAGCTAGGGGACATTAGAAAGGTAATGGCTGCATTTCAAGTGACAACCTCTATGTGAACATCAGAATGAGCGGAGTACAAGGACGATTTCTGAGGATACTTGGGAACAAGGTTCCAGGCAGAGGAAGAGCCAGGGCTGGAGGATGGAGGAGGTTGGAAGGTTTGAAGCCCAGCCAAGAAGCACTGAGGGAGAAGAGATGAGTTCAGGGTTCAGATCAGGGGCCCAAACCCCTGGGGCTTGTGGGCCGTGCTCCAAGCAGGATGAGGAGTGGGATGGGGAACCCAGATGGCTTGGTGGACTGAGCACTCCTCCACTACTGGGTGCCAGGCTAGACACTCCGGGCTCTGACTCACCCCAAGTTCAAGCACTCAGATTGGAGGCAGCTCTGGCAGCCCAAGGGCAGGCTGGAAACATTTCCGAATGAATGCCTTCTCCATTGAGCATGTGCTCTGTGGGAGAACAATTCACCCTGAGTTTGGATCAGCCTTCCTTCCTCTGATGAGTACTTCCCTGTGCTCCAGTGTTAACTCAGGAACGACTTACAAGGTGCGTTTCCGAGAAATGACACCCCAAATGACTAACCCCCCACCCTCCCCAGGCTCAGCGAAGGGCCAAGGGCTGAGCACTGTTATTGCTCCTTTTGCCTCTTCCTCTGCTGTAGTCCTTGCACCTGACATGACCATTTGTTCCTTTTCACCTCCCCACATGGCACTTGTACTGAGGTGTCCTTAAGCCAATGAATGTATCGGGTTTGGAAGGCTTCGGTTGACTTAACGTTGCTCTCATTTTGGATGCTAAATGAATGTATGAACGTGCATAAGATCAATCTGCCCTCTCGCCCTCTCCATAGAGGTGAAGGGTGTGGCATACTGCACCAAGAGGAAATACAGCTGCCGAAACAATACAGCTGAGTCAGTCAACCGCATGTGGATATTTCTTGCTGGCTAATGAAAAATGTATATGCTCAAGGGATCGGGCTCTGCCATGCTATACGTTTCTCTCCATCAGGATAGAATCACATAGCCAAATAGACGCATATTGGTACTTTTCATAGACACTCTGAGCTTTATAAAAACATTAATGGCATAAAACTCCATCTAAATACTGAATTACTGAAAAGACTGGCAATTAAGTGCTAATGTCAACAGAAGCACATTCTCTAATGAGCTGTTTTCAGAAGCTAATCATGTGATTAATCACCAATTGATAAAAAAAAACTGGGAAAGAAGTTGTTTTGTTCTAATAGGACTTCAAACCCAAGTGCTGCCGGGAGAGAAAAGAACCTTTCGGCTCCTGTAAGAGTGGTGTGGGGAGCCAGGCTGCACCAGGGATAGCGGTAGTGCTCGGATGCCTTTATTCCCGTTTCTTGGAGCATGTTCTAGAAGCAACTAAGGAGCCCTGGGGGTGGAGTGGCCTACACCTTGAACTGCTAACAAGAAGGTCATTAGTCCAAACCTAGCGGTCCCACCGTGGGGAAAGATGAGGCTGTCTGCCTCCGTAAAGATTTAAAGTCTCAGAAACCCAAAGGAGCACTTCGACTCCCTCTTCCAGGGTGGCTGTGGGTCAGACGTGGCTCCATGGCAGTGAGTTTGGTTTGTTGCCAACCCAAATAACGGTTGGTCCTCGAACCCCCACCCCCCCAGCAGTTCCACAGGAGAAAGACCTAGCTATTTGCTTCCGTGACTATTACAGTCAAGAAAACTCCGTGGGGCAATGCTGCTCCATCCGACCCACAGGGTCGCTCTGAGTCAGAGGCCACCTGCTAGCACCCAGTGAGTATCCGATCTAAATGTTAGGGACGCAGCAGGAAAACAGAGGCTAAAAGCCTCTGCCTTCTTGGCACGTCCATTCTCATGGTGAGGGAGGGGAGTGGGAATAATCCATAAGGTTTCACTCCAGGGCCCCCAACAGAGGCATCGACTGTCCTAACGGCACATCCTCTCTGCTGACGATCACTTTGCTTACACTGCTCTTTACGCTGGTTCTGAGCACAGCCTGGTCCTGTTGATGAGACCGAGACATCCCCCTGCCTTCCTTGCCAGCCAGTCTGGGGGCGACCCATCCATCACTCACTCTGAGGGTTCTCTCTCTGTCGCCTTTGCTGCCTGCCTCGACCGCCGACTTCTAATCCTCAGATTTCTCCTTCAGCTTCTGGGCCTCACCGGTAGAGAAAATTGGTAGTGCCACCCCATTCTCCACTTCCTCTTAACAGTAATGAAGACTAGCCTCTCTTGAGCACCCACTAGGGACCTCATCCTGTGCTGAAGTACTGCATGAGCTGTGTCTCACTGATTCACTGACACGTACAAAGTGAGAACCCTCTTTTCCAGAGGAGGAAACTGGGCATTAGGGAGCTCGAGTAACCTCCCAGGTCTGAGCAGAGTCCTTCTGACCCCAACTCCTCTCATCTCCATGCCCTCTCATTGCAGCTGAGAGGGGTGGGGTGGGGCGGGTTTATCTCGTGGTCACTTTCTTCCTCCTGTTTTCCTCAGCTCCTCATCACCTGCTCTTGCTTGCTCTCTCCCGCAGCTGTGGTGAAGAGCCCACCCAACAACCTGTGGATCATTGCCGCGGTGCTGGCGCCCATCGCCGTGGTCACAGTCATCATCATCATCATCACTGCCGTGCTCTGCAGGAAGAACAAGAACGACTTCAAGCCCGACACCATGATGAACCTGCCCCAGAGAGCAAAGGTAAGGAAGTGGGGAGGGAAGACGAACAGGCACCCAAGGCTGCACAGCCATTCCCGGATCTTCCCTCTGATTCCTGAGGCCGCTGCATGCACCCTCAAAGGCATCCTTACAAGCACCCTCCCCCCACCTGTTTTTTTGGTCCATTAGACATTTATTTGTTTTGGGGCGTTGTTGGTGTTAGATACCGTAGGTTGGTACCTAACTCACAGCGACCCTGTGTGCAGTGGAACAGACACGGCCCAGTCCTGCACCATCCTCACAGTGGCTCTCACGTCTGAGCCCATGGCTGTAGCCCTGTGGTGTAGTGGTTGGTGACATGTTGGACTTCTTACCAGAAGGTCAGCAATTTGAATCTACCAACTGCTCTGAGGGCTCACAGTGAGGCTTTCTACTCCCTTAAAGAGTTCTGGTCTTGGAACCCCCCAGGGGCAGTTCCACCCAGTGGCTGTGACTCGGAACAGACTCCGTGCAGTGGGTGTCTGCGCACCACATGCCCTAGAACAAGAAGCCCAGGGCTGGCTCTCCTGTGTGTTTTCTTCCGCCTTGCTTCCTCTCGGTCCATGAAGTCTGCCAGGATATTCAGCACAGTGAAACCACACTGGCGGGATGGGGGCAGATTGTTCGGCCATTTTTCTAGACCTTGGAGCTGCACGTCGGATTTGGGCTGATCACTGCACGCTTGTTGACGCTGCCCGTGAGGTTTGCAACAATGTTCCCAGCTCTGTGATCATCCGCGATCTCAGAGCCACCCGTGTAGCCATGCTGCGTCACCACGCTCAGAAACCAGATAATGGCTTTCGAGCACCGCCTCTCTTCACCGCATTACTGATTATCCTGAGCGCATCTGCCAGGACATCCATGCACGGCCATTGTGAGGACCCGAAAGAGGAAGGGCTGCAAACCCTCGTTATTATTTTCATAATCGGGACATGATAGCTAAGGACATGCCGGTCGTCGGTGCTCCCAGTTGCTTGACATGTAGCAACTCCATTTTCATAGCAACCCTCGGAGGAAGCTTCATGGTTTTACAGATGAGGAAACTGAGGCACAGACATGTAGGAACTCAATAGGATGGGAAGGGGCGTTGTTATTGTCGTTGTTGACTGCCATAGAGCCCACCCCGGACTCCACACACAGTGGAACCAAACACTGCCCGATCCTGCCCCTCCTCTTTTATCCTTTGCAGATCACTGTGATCCCGTCTGGCTTTCGTCAGCTGATTTTCAGAAATAGATCTCCAAACCTGTCTTCCTTAGGCCCGCTTCGTCGGGAAGCTCTGTAAAAATCTCTTCAGCATCCTAGCAATGCGCAAGCCCATATTGACAGAGGGTGGTGTGCTCCGGGTCTCCTGCCTGGAAGGGGGCTTTCTACCACCAAACCACCACAGCCCCTGACAGGGGCCTTAGGGCATCTCATCTCACCGCCTCCTCTTACAGACGAGGAGACGCGACTCCTTCAAGGCTGCACAGTTAGTGGGTAGCAGCACTGACTCGTGGTTCCTAGTGCAGGCTTTTTCTGGGGCTATCAGAGCCTCATAAGAGTCCTTCCATTGACTGAAATGACTTGCCTTCAAGCGCTACCAGGGTGGACAAGCTGCAGAGCTGTGGCCAAGTAGCCGTCACACTTCAGGTCTGTGGCCTGACCGGAGCCTGTCCTTCCCTACTGCAGCCCACTCTCTGTACCGTTCACCTCTGATAACTAGGAGGGAGGGGAATGGGCTGAGGAGACGCTGCAGGCTAATTTCCCAGTCACGTCTCTCCCTCCATGATATCCCCGAGGGAATGATAGTAACCTGTAATACTCGATCTTTAAATAATGCCTTACAACTCACTGGGCCTTTCCAGGGTCATCCGCTCATTTGCTCATCACAGCTGCCTGTGAGGTAGGTCGTCGCCAGGGCAGTTTTTATGATTCTCATTTTATTGCCAAGCAATGAGAGAGAGCGAGAGAGCGAGCAAACGAACCAGTCTCATCCCGAGTCATAGAATGAGCACCAGAAGGGACTTGCAGGCACCTATCTGAGTAACTGATGTAGCTCTTGCTACATCACACACCTGCCAGGATCCTGTGATTTGGCAGGTAGGAACCCGCCTCGGGCTCTGAACTTCAGAGTTTGGTCTACATGTGCAGGACTGAGACAGGGAGCCGCACCGCGCATTTCACACACCTTGACATGCACTGCAGCCATGGACGTGGCTCCTGCAAGGAGTCACGCTACGTGTCTCGTTCTTTCTGGATGCTCATCGCTCACTCCAGGAAACCAAAGGGTTTTGAAGCTGTGGCTCGAGCAGACACTGTGCACCGAACAGCCAACCCCCAAGGAACATTGCTCTGTTTCTGTCGCCACCGAGGCACCGCGCTGGTGAGGAGGGTGCGCTGGAGATGACCTAGGCAGGGGAAATGAAGCCTTTCCAAGAAGGGACATTTTATTTCCATCTGACCTTAGTTATAGTGTACGCCTTTCAGATGTGACAGTAATTACCAGAATCCAATTGCAGCTGAGCACTGAAATGCAAAACATGTCACACTGAGATTGTCAATGGCCTTGTTGGGTCACAGATGAAACCAGGATTTTCTTAATTTGCCAAGCTCTGTTGGACAGCGCACGGTGGCAGTATGCCTTCTGGCGGGAGAGCTGTCTGAGGCTGGAGCCCATGCATGGCTGGGGCTCTCGGCACCCCCCCATTTTGACGAATAAATCTCTATTTTTTTTGCCATTCCAAAGAAAGGTAACCCAATATAATGCATAGATTATCAAACAGTATCATTAATATCACATGTAGGTAAAATCTTGCTGATAATAGTTATAAAACGGTTGCCATGGTACATCGTTGAGACGTTATCCTAGTAATTGGTTTGATGGTATGATTCGAGGTTGACATGAATTTGGGGGATGGGCCATGCATGTTGTCATTAGCATAAAGGTTCCTGCCTTGTTTTTGTTTTGTTTTGTTTTTTAATCACTGTATTGAGGGGCTTCTTAGAAATCTTAGAACATTCCATCAGCCCATGGTATCAAGCACACTGGTACATATGTTGCCGTCGCCATTTCCAAAGCAGTGTCTTTCTACTGGAGTCAGCGCCCTTTTATGTTCCTCTGCAGTGCGCTGTGCCTTGTGACGTTCCTGGCTGATGTTGAAAATCAAGCATATTTATATTCCGCCAGAATATTTAACCTTCCCTTGTAGGTTCTGCTGGTGATGATGGGGGGCG